GAGGAGGAGGAGGAGGAGGAGGAGGAGGTCCAGCACAATCAGACCTGCAAGATTCTGCCATTGAAGCCAGTCTCAATGCATGTAGTTCTCCTCTTCTGTGGGGCAGACTTCCTGGTTTGGTCGACCCGGTGGGGCCAAGAGGGACAGAGCAGCTGCTCCAGAGATGGGGAGGCCCAGAGAAGTGATCCAGAGAGGCCAGGGAAGCCGAGGTCACCTTCGTTTGAAAGGCCGGGGCCGGGGCCGAGGGAGGCCGTTGGCAGGATGGATGCTGAGGGGCGGGTGGGTTAGGTGGTCTCCAAGATGCCTTCCAACCCTGTGGAATTCTCCTGTTTTCTGGGTTTCCACAATATCGAGACCTCTAAACTGGCCAGACAAGGCTGGGGTTGCAGAACATCCTAAACTACAAGGAATCAACTTCCATAGCACCAGGAAGAGCAGCCAGTCGTGTGAATGCGGCTGCAGGATCTCACCTGGCCTGTGTGGACACAGCCTTGGACTGACAGATCACAGCTTGGGTGCTTCTGCTGCAAAACCTGAAGGGGTTTATGCACAACAGGCGAAAAGTTTGTGGAGAAGGAAAGAGCTACCAGGAGGCTTTTAGCCCAAAAGTGCCACTTTCACCCCAAAGGGCTGTTTTTCTCAGGGTGCCGCACTTAAGAGAGAATCGCGGGAGGCTGAAGAAGAGAGCCGGGAGTGGCCCTCCTGGGGGGAGACTTAAGCCAGAGAGTTTAGAGTTTTAAGGGTTAAAATTATTTTGCTGAGGAACCCTTGGGAGAAAGTGACCACATCATCTTGGGGCTCAAGATACTGCAGAAAGGGGAAATGAAAATGAAACAGATTTCGGGAAAGTGAATTTGAACAGGATAACAGAAGTTCTAGGTGGGGGCTCCATGGAGAGACTCTTCGAGGCAAAGGCAGCCCCAAGGGGGGGAACTTTTTGAAGAGTAAGAAACTGCAAGACCAATTGCACAACCTTGCAAGGAGGAAAAGAAAGGGGTGTGGGGGGAGCTTAAGAAACTGGTCCGATGCACAAAGGGGGATGCATGAGGAGAGCAGGAGGCCTGTTTTTAAATATGGATCTTGGGCTCTTCTGCTGATCTTTGCTCTTTGGGCTGATCCACAAGGAAAGTAGGTAGTTCCTGGTAATATATATA